AAAAAAAAGGGAGATCAAAATTTAAATTTTACTATTTTTTGGGCCAAACCTATAAACTGTTTAGGGGAAGGCTAGAAAATAAATTACAAGGGTTGGGAACTTGGGGCTCCTACTAGCCCTCTTTCTCCGCCACTACCCGGATATGTGATCTTGAAGCCAACTAAACTGGACTACTATGATCTTCATAAGGACAAAAAATCCAAATGGTTAGCTCTTTTAGTCCTTTAGTGGGCTGTATATATATCAGATGCTTTCTCTTTGAGTTTTGATTCTAGGTGGTGATGCTTTCAAGAACAACATCATGACAAGGATGATGAAGACGATAATGACAACAACGACGTGGAATTTCATTATTTGTTTGCTGGGGAAGTCATTTTAATTTTTCTTCTTTAAAAAACAAACATTATACATATTATAGATGTAACCAACCAAGTTGATACATACATGTATCAATGCTATATTAATAGCATCACGATATCAAAGGAGATTTTTTGCAATTCCATGTATGAGCAGCGAATTACATCCAAGAGCAAGAAATGAAGACAAAAACAAAGAAGGATGGAAGAAATAAGCTAGTAGATGAGAAAGTGAGAGTATCAAGGGATGTTTAGGAGTGTAGTAGCGATAATTTTTTTTTAAATTTTATTTAAAATAATATTTTTTTATTTTTTTTTAAAATTATTTTTGTTATTAACATATCAAAACAATTAAAAAAACATAATTTTTTTTTTAAAAATCAATTTTTATATAAATGGCATTTGAAATGCAATTCTAAATACCCCTTACTAGTCCCTGTCGGAGCCTTCTTTCCTTTATCTTTCTTTTTTATTGAAAAAAAAAGTGTAGTAATGTCTTTCATGCACTTCAATTGTATATATATGGAATAGAAAGCATGTTTGAAAAGAACTCATCTAAACTAATATTTTGTACATGCAAGTATGCCAAAATATATATATAATGGAGGCATATTGGAGGATGTTTGATGGCATCATCTTTTTGTATATAATATATATAGCAGCACTCTCCTTGGAAGGAAGATGGTTGGTTTGGAAAGGACTTGTGCATCTTCTGAGGGTTGATTGCAAGCCTAACTTGTCCCGCTTGAGTTTCTTACCTCCCCCTTCATACAAAATGTAGTTTGTGGCATCATTTTTTTGTCAAAACCTACTTTGTTAATCGCAGTGAACTACCCTAGCAAGTGATGATAGGTACGTGTAATTAACTAACGAGCTAATTAAATGGGCTTTAATGTACCCAAAACCTCATCTGCAATCAATATATATATACATATATATATATATTAACTTATACTTTGAAACTTTATAGTTTATACAGATTGCAAAAGAATTTTGTCGAGCCTGGCCAAGCAATGTACTTCGACGACTAGAGGATTATCACCGTACACGCATCAAATGGCTCATTCTTTAATGCCACTAAATGCTAGCATCATGGGTTATCAACACACTGTATAAATAATGAGCTAATTTTTTGGAAACGTTTATAGAATGGGACTGGTTTATGATCCGGTCTGGTTCGGTTTGATTTGAATTAAAAAATTCAACTGAATCAAAAGTTGTAATTTCTAAAACCATTGACTGACCTAATCAAAAATCAATCAGTTCGTCTGAGTTGGGTTTTTTCTTAAAAGCCAGAAAAACCGATAACTCCCATAAAAGATAACTATGCGGAAGGAGAAGACACTAACAATAAAATAAAAAATACATATAACTAGGGCAGATCAAACAAACACCAACACCAGGTTTTGGATTACCTGGGAGTTCTGGTTATTGACATAAGCGAAAACTCAAAAAATCAATACCTTGTACTCTTAAATCCAACAATAAATATTATATAATCACAAGCAAGACTAATTCATTAGAAACAAAAACACTTTTACAAAGGACAGAAAAAAGAAACCAATCAAATAATTTATTGCTTTGAAATTTTAAAATGGAGATACATGGCCTTCAAATATAAATAGTTCATCCCCCTTCCTCAATTTTTTTTTTAATGATTTAAGACCTGCTCCAACTTCAATCCATCTTTTTTGACTTTGTTATGTATAAGCATAATATTTGACTTTGCATGAGAATGAAGAGAACAAGGGAAAGAGAGACTAGAAAAACAGGTCACAGGAAAGAGGGGGAGGGGGGAGGGAGAGGAGCGGCTGAAACAAAATCTTTAGGGTTAAAATGTTTTAAGTTTCAATTTATACATGTTTTGTATTAGCAGTTTTAGTTCGTTGAATCGGTTTTAGTTTTTTAAAATTAAAATTAAATCAAACCAAATAATTTATTTAGTTTTTAAAGTGGTTTCTTCAATTTTTTCTCTCGATTTGTTTTTTTAGTCAATTTTTTGAAGTTTCTTCAATTTAATTAGTTAGTCAGTGTTTTAGAGTACGCCTAATTTATAGTACTCTACTCTTAACTCTTATTAAAATTTAGGCGTATCACAATCTTCACAAAGTGACACTGGATCAAATATCATTTCTTTATGCATGCCCTAATAGCTAATAGGTAATCTTTTATTTGAAGACAATTATAATATAAATTATATCTTAAAATTTCATATAAAATTTTAAATTTTAAATTTTAAATTAAATTAATTTTTTACATAATATCAGAATTTTAATAATTAAACAATCATAAATTTGAATATCATTATTTATATTTATTTAATAAAAATTAAGTATAAAATAGTATAAATTTATGTAAATTTTAATTTTAAAATACTTTCACTTAAAAAATATATTAAAAATAATATAAACTATATTTTAAAATCAAACCTTAATATTTAAACTTTTGAATTTTTTTTGGCAGAACAATCAAACAAGGGGCAGATATTCTCTGCTAATACTGGATGTACGTACGCCTAATTGTTTGTGATTAACTATTCTACAGTGCACGTAGTCCAAAACTGATAGAATAATAGAACAAGAATCCAAGATAATGGTGTCCACTCAACCTGTTAAAGTAACAAGTAAGAGAGTTAATCACAAGTGGCAAGAACTTGTCGTTTTGAATTTTAATTTTTTTTTAATCATTTAACTACTGATTAAGTAATAAGAATTTAGAATTAAAAAATTTATTTTATCTATAATTTCGCCTTTAATTGCTTATATAATAACCAATAAAAAATTATATAATCATTAATTTTAGAATCATGAAATTAATTGTGGTATATAAAAGTTAAATATGATATTTATATTAATAAAAACAAATAAGAGGGTTAACGAATTATCAAATCTCCCAAATTATAAAATCTTAAATACTCAACGATCACAGGTTGATTATGCCACCGGTTATATATATCCCATTACCTCCTGTCTATAAAATTGATAATGTCACAGCTTCTCCCAGGAACTTCAAACAATTGAAACGTGTTTGATTTAATTGATGGAAGCTAATAAAAGTTAATAATCAAGTTGAATTTGCCCATATTTTTTATAGAAATAAAAATTAGCATTGCCAATATTCAAGGATCAATTGGCAAAAAAAAAAAAAAAAAGGGAGGAACCATCGTATGAAATTGACTGAAAATGAAGTAGATAATACCATTTGACTTTTCAACGCAAACACGCACAAGGAGAGAAAAAGGGGTTATCTCTCTCTAGTCTCTTCTAAAGTGGCAAGTTATCTTTAATCAAAGCCAGTATGTAGTTACGTAAACCAAGCCTGCTATGCCCTCTAGATGTGACTCCATAGTTCTCGAGGATTAGCATGGGATATATGTCCCAGAATTCGTGTAGATTGTGTATTTTAAAGATTTTTTTTAATATATATATATATATGAAAATATTAGCATTATTTTTTAAAATTTTATTTTTAATATACATGAAAATATTAGTATTATTTTTTAAAATTTTATTTTTAATATTATCATATCAAAACAATATACAAACGCTAACAAATATGAATTTTTAGACTAGGATCAAGCTACATTTGTCCGATTTATGATTCACCATGAACACTCTTCTTCTACATCAGCTTTCGAGCACATTTTACAAAGCTACATTTAGTGGTGAACAAACCAATAAGAGGTTATCCCTCCGATCATTACATTAATCAATTCAACATGACTAGTTACAATCTTTTCAAAATTAGATCCTGCTACAACCGTTACATCTTCTATTCATCATGGCAAGCACAAACACAACATCAAAAGAAAAGGGATAAAAACATAAACAGCATCAAGTACGGCCACACTCCCACATAAAAAATTTCAGTACATAACCATGTCCATGATGGGTTGATTCACGTGGGAATTAGCATTATTCCATGGATTCATGAAAAAGCCGTCACCAATCTGATGACTAGTCGCAGAAACAGAGGCAACAGCATCCTCGGGTTCAAAAAGACCATCGCTAAAGTTGGCATATTCAATAATTTCATTGAGAGAGTCCAATCTGTGGCTAAGCTCGGCCATTTGGGCTCTGAGGATAGAGTTCTCGGCTTCGATATTCATGTAAAGCTGAGAGATAGCATTCATCCTTGTCAGGATCTCATTATTTTCTCTCGCGAGCTGACCAAGTTGTCCCGTGAGGTCTTCCAGGTGTTTCTGTTTCCTCATTCTTGATCTTCTTGCAGATTCTCTATTGGATATCATCCTTTTACGCTTCCTTAGGTCCATAATCTGCCGCGGATCCTCTTCAGAACTTGAGTTCCTCAACATGGCTTTTGACCCTGAAGATGCCCCACTAGAGGAGGCCATTATATTTTTCCCTTAACAAATAAAAATAGTCCTAACAATAACAAGAAGAACAACAAAAATGTAATTAGCCCCGGACTATGCTTGATAAAAAGAGAAAGCTAGCACAGGACCAAGAAGATGACTATTTTCAAGTTGACTAAGATGCTAAAGGAAGATGGTTATATAGGGATTCAGAACGGGTGATGGAGTTCATGAGAAAACGTAGAACCAGTAGAGGAAAACAACAGAGAAAGATTGAACAAGGTGAGTCCTGCGTCTAAGAGTAGAGTTTATCATAAAACCAGAGAGGAGGATTTCACAGAGGACAGGAGTCATGAATACTTTGTACTCTCAAGCATCAAGAAAGGGACGTGTTAAGCATCAAAATAAAACAGTACATAAAACAAGAGAAAAATCAAAGAAATGTTGGAGACAAGCACAGATTTTGTGTATATTGTGAAGAAGCCGGTTTTTCTTCTTCTTTTTTGTGTGTGAGAGAGCGCAAAGCGAAGGCTTTATAACCTTATCAGGATCATCTAGAAGGGATGATGTATGATTACTGATAGAAAAGAAGGCTTCGGATTTTAAAACAAGGGAGATGAGGATAAGAAGGAAAGGAACTTTCTGGGGGTACTGGTAATGGAATTTATACACTGAATTGTACTTGGAAGAAATTATCTCGATTCTTCAGGGCATGTCCGTGAGTGTACGGTGGTTTACTTTTTAAAAGTTTTTTTTAATATATTTAAATAATATTTTTTAATTTTTTAAAAACTAATTTTAACATTAACAGGTCAACATAATTTAAAAATATATAAAAAATTAAATTTTATTAAAACTTCAGTATAAAAATTGCTATCTTGGAACGAGAGAGAGAAAATTGAGCAGTTGGTTTCAATGAAAGGTAGGAAAAAGTGAAAATAGTGGTAGTGGGCTTGCATTGCATCGCATGTTCATGCGCACGTGCGAAATTAAAGATAATTACAGGGTAACAATTTTGATCAGTTGAAGTCAATCATCAAAGATTATTTAAAAGCTTATAATTTATTTAAGGATGATAAACATAGTTTATTTTAAAGATCCGTGAACATTGAATTTCAAAGATTATGATTTGTTGGGTAGTTCTGTGAGTGTTTATCGATGATTCTCCTCAGTTTTGTTTTTGTATAAATCTTGTGTAAAATTTACTAATTATGTATTAGTTAAAAATTAATTTAAAAAATTAATTTTTTTGTATATTTTTATATTGTTTTAATGTGGTAATTTTTAAAAATAAAAAATATTATTTTAATTTATTTTTAAATTAAAAATAACCTATTACCTTAATAAAGCGGTAAGTTTTACTTCTGAATTAAATTAATCGTACTTGTTTATTTACTCTTAATTAATTTTGATTAATATCTTTTATACCTAAATACAACCAAGTGGCTTCATTTTTATTGGAGGAAGAGGGAGCTGTGGGTACAGTAATGTATCTTGTGGAATCCCTTAGCCGTACAGCGGCACATGCATGGTGTCAGACCTCTCACTGCTAGTGGCGTCCTTCACTTTTTTGAAGAAAAAAAGATAGGCAACTTGCTGCGGGATATTCCAGGCTGTTTTATTGTGCGGTGGTATAGTTGTTTTTTAATATTTTTTTATTTAAAGATATATTCAAAATAATATTTTTATTTAAAGTATATAAAAATTTTAAAAAAATTAATTTAAAACAAAAATATATAAAACATGAATTTAAACACGTTTCCAAATAGCATCTCTCGCGGACACCATTTTTTCAACTTGCGTGGGCTGCTGCGTCCATTTGAGATGTGGCGGGATGATATAAAGTAATTTTTTATTTAAAATTATATTAAAATAATATATATATATATATATATATATATATAAACAAATTAGATATAGTTACTGGAACTGAAACCAGCTGGCTGGTTCAATTCGGAAACAGCTGAATCGCATGTTGATTAAATTTGTATAAAAGTAAGGAAATCAAAGGATCTGGCAAAACTGTTTGAACAGGCTGGGTTTTTTAAATACCAGTTGAACCACCCGCAACCAGCTCTAATAAATACTCTTCAACACCGTAGGTAGTGTAATATCTAGTTGGAGATTATGATTTTATTCAATAATAGAAATAAATAAATTAATCATATAGGTGAGATTTTCCAATTGCATTAATTAATTAATTAATGGGTGATCTTAGGAAATATGTTGAGAAAACCCTTGTAAATCTCAATTTTCTTAATCCAATCACGTAAAAAGACTAATTATTTGTCCATCGAGAAACCTCTGTGCGCGCCCGCGCGTGTGTCTATGTATATATATATGTTTGGAAGTCAGTAGCTGGGGACTTGGAGGTGAAAGCAAGGGGAGTTAAGCAGGGTCCGGCACCGGGTTCCAGGCTACGGCAAATTTTTTTTCCCATTATTTAGTAATTAAGTATGAGAAAGTATTACATTTTTTTATTTTAAAGAGGTGAGCTTTTTTACAATAATTAAGTGTGAGTTTACTTTTATTTTCTTTACATTTATTATTGATTTTATATACTTAGATAAAAAAAAAATATAAAGTTATTTTAATATAAATCCTACAGTTAGTCAAAAACAGAAATAAAAAATATAAATTACAAGTAAAAATTTTCTTTAGAAAAATTGAAGCATAATCATTACTTAATTCATCTTTCATCAAACAAGACAAAGATATTTAAATTTAAAATCTTTTTTTTTTATTTTGAGATGTTTGCTAATAATTTGATGAGGTTTTGTTTTGAGATGTTTGCTAGTAATTTGATGAGGTTTTTTTTTTATATAATTCTAACATTTTTTTTTCAAATCTACTAATTCTACCCATTGTTTTTTGAATTCTTGTTATTGTAATTTTTTTAAAAATTAATTAGATTTATTTTATTGGTTTTTTTATTGTACTTTGATTTTTTTTTATGTTTTGTTTTTAGTAGAGTCATCAAAATTATTAATTTTTCTCACAATATATATTTTAATTTTAGGTTAAATTATAAACAAAATAAAAAAAAATATTTTTTTTCTTAAAAAAAATATCGATAACTCACAGTTTAATAAATCAACTCTAATATATAATATTGAAGTTATGGTTGAACAGCCTCAATATACTTTAATTTGCAAAGAATTTACGTTGATTAGTGAGCAACATCTTACTAAAATCAACATTACTTATTTAATTAGAAATCCAAGCAATCGTTCTTAAATTTAGGAATACCGAATTAATTAATAAAATAAAATTCACTTTCATAAATAATATTTTATTTTAGCTAATGTTTCTTATATACTTTCTATATTTATATTTGATATATATAAACACCAACAATATTAAAGTAAAGGATATATTATAAAAATAAAATTAATTTTATTATTTTGATTCAATTTGATATTACTCAAAACCTTATCATATACAAAAGTCATTATATATTTGTAGTAAGTTATTTGAATAAAACTAAATTATGCAAAGTTTTTTTTAACAACTCATGTATAATAAATTAAAATAAATATTATATCTTATTATATTAATTTTAGCTTTTCCTTGTAATTAATCCTAGTTATGCCCTTGATGGTAATAGTTATTTTTTAAAGTATATTTTATTTAGAAATACTTTCAAATAATATTTTTTAATTTTAAAAAATTATTTTAACATAAACATGTTAAAATAATCTAGCAATATTAAAAAAATATTAATTCTTTAAAAAATAAAATAAATTTTTTTAAATTTCTTTTAAAATGTGTCGTAAGAATCTTTATAGAATGTTTCATGGAAAAAACACTCCCGCTACAACTTGCTCTTGATCTTGTTCTTGGAGTATTATCCATTTTTTTTTTTTCCCATCATAATTGTTTCAAAATCCCCTGCCTCTTGCCCGTCAACTTGCAAGCAAATTTCCTGAATTTACTTGGATGGTTTTTCTAGTTTGGCGGCTCCCACCCAGCCATCCACTTGAGCTATCCTTGCGTGACGTGAGCTAATCAAATTGCCCTCTTGTTTTTTCTTTGCGGTAGCTTTTATTTTCAAGAATGCTTTTATTTGAAAAAACATGTTAAATTAATATTTCTTTTATACTTTTAATATATTGATATTAAAAATAAAAAATATTTTAATTTCGGATTGGGTGGGGGGTTAGGTTTTACTTGTCGATGGTGGCCTTGACTCTTTTGTAGTGGCGAGGGTAGGAATTGAACTTTTTATGTTTCTAGCATTGCTGCTTTATAGAGTGGGGACTCTCTGGTTAAATGCCAGTAGAAGATGGCGAGGGACTGCTGGTGGGCTAAAATCATTCCAAGATGTTAATGGATAAAGTCAGATTCTCATTAATTATTTGGGCAATAATATATACCAAAATATTAATCAACTTTAGGAATTAGATTTAGAAAAGTTTTAGTTTAGGGATCCAATTGAGAATTGGTGGATAGAAGGGGGACTAATTTGAGATTTCCCTTGTCCTCCTGCTTATCCACAATAAGTGAAACTGATGGCACAAAATTAGTATTTTTTTAGGAGTTATTTGTTCTAACACTTTATCTTTTAGGTTTAGTGGGTGAGTTCATGACTTTTGAACCATAGAGTAGGGGATAATGTTTTCCTATTAAATAATTATAATAAAAGAATTATATTTGTTAGGACTTGAATATTGCTTTAGTAAATTAAGCTGTATAATGCACAATTAATAAGTTCATTAATATATTTTTAGGGAAATTGATTATTAGGATTGCACCCCAGTTTGATATAAGTTCAATTCCATGGGGAGCTGGAACGAATGACCAACCCTCCATGATGTATGAGCTGAACATGGATTATAACTTGACCTGGAAGCCAAGCTTGGGTGAATAACATGTATGTTTTTGCCAAGTAAACAGTGCTTTTAATTATTATTTTTTTGTTTGAAATTAGTTTTTTTTAATCTTTTTATATAAAAATAAATTTTAAAAAATAATCATTTTTATATAAAAAATAAATTTTAAAAAATAAAAATATATTATTTTAATATATTTTCAAGTCATGTACTACAATAAAGTTAAATTTTAGTCATTTTAAGGCTTCTCTATGATGATTTAGAAGTGACGACTATTCCAATACTATAAGAAAGTTAAATTTTAAGGCTTCTATATGATGATTTAGAAGTGACGACTATTCCCTGGTATTACAAAAACAAGGGAGGGAAGTGATTTAGTTTAAATGCATGCATGAACAGCATAAAAAACTCGATTATGCTTGCAAATCTTGATCGAGTTTTTATCCAAAAAGACTCGAGGTTTATGCTTCATCGACGGCTAGTTGCCAAAGCAACACATGTTTAAGTTTAATAAGATTTCCAGACTGAGGCCTAGTATTTCTTATTAAAGGGTAGCGTTATGTAGGCCTATCTTGGCCAGGCCAGGCTTCAGGGACACAAGTAAATTGCCCTAGAGGAGTCTCTCCATGTGCAGACACCCGCAGATCAGTTCAAACTGCCCACTCACAAGTCCATTTCAGTTTGTTGAATTAGAGAGTCATTTCTGCTTTTCAAAATTTGTGATGCAAAGCTAGTTTTTGAAAAGAAAGGTGAGCCGAATTCGTTATGTTTGACGTTTTCCTGAGCACTCAAACAAGAAATAGCACATTTCCAAATGTTACAAGGTCAGAATTTGTGTTTAGAGGCGTGCCTTAACAGAGCCTAACTGTCTTGATGTCCCCTCACATCAGTGTTTTAAACAATTCCATCATTTCATAAGAATGTGCAGGACCAAGTGATGGTTGTCCATTAAAATTGGGTTGCTTCTAGTGCTGCAAGAGGTTGGCTTTCATTTTCACGTGCAGCATTCCAAATTACGAACTGAAAGAAAATTGTTTTGGGAGCAGGGAAGAAGATGAAGATGAATGGTAAAAATAGGGATATTACAAGTCAGAAGGTGAAAACTATGAAACCCATGGTCCCCGTCACCAGTTCTATACAGACATAAAAATATTGATGCATCAACATTATCGTATTATTCCAGATCAAGATGTCTACATTGCTCGATATATTTTATAGACCACAATAAATGATGGCATGCCAATTTACAATTTACAAGATGCCATAGTCCGGCTCTGAAACCCAAAACTGATAAACAAAATGTCCAAACAAAATCTTGGTAAATATCACGTACATTCTCTCAATGTCATGCTTCCAAGTGGAAATATTTAACTGATCTCACAGACACACTAGAAAAAGGATTTTGAAACATAATCTATCTATGAGCTAACACAGCTTCAGGGTGGTAATGAAGCATCTCATCCCATATCATCTCCCTAATCATATGTTCCCCAAGATTCTCATCCATGTCTAGATTGATAGGAACCTGTGCTGGTGGTTCGCGTCTTGGATCGTACAGCCCTGATATGTAAGGGTGTAGAAGTGCTTCTGTCACCGTAATTCTCTTACTAGGATCAAACACCAGCATCCTTTGCAACAAGTCTATGGCCAAAGGATCAGCATGAGGGTATAGGTGTGAGAGATGGGTTCCCCTTGTATAAGGAAGTGTTTTGATGTACCTCCTGGCTTTTGGGTTGTCGATGAACTCAAGATCAGTGTCCTTTTGGCTACCGAGGACACTGATAATTAGCTTCAGCTGGTTCAGACACTCTGTTCCAGGGAAGATAGGTTTGCGGCCAAGAATCTCAGCAAAGATACGCCCGACAGACCAGACATCAATGGATGTTCCATAATTGTCACAGCAGAGTAGCAGCTCAGGTGCACGATACCATCGGGTAACAACATACTCAGTCATGAACTGTTCATTGCCTCTGCTCGTTCGTGCCAGCCCAAAATCACATATCTTCAGGTCGCAGTTAGCATTGACAAGGAGATTTCCAGGCTTCAGGTCCCGATGAAGAATGTTGGCTGAGTGGAGATAATTCAGCCCACGTAGCAACTAAAATATTTTATGAAGATTAGATACTAGCAGAACAATATTGAGAAGAGAAGAAAAATTGATTGAAAATTAACTAGTTGTATGCATGGCATCGCATCTAATCATTATCCCAGATTATTATCACTGGTTATGCTATGTCAAAGCACAGCTATCAAGTTCAATCAGAAAGGAACATAAGCCATTGCCATTGTTTTGCCAAATTCATCATCATCTTCGCACAGTTTTGTGATTTGTTCATTAACAAATGAGTAACTCAGTTGAGTTTGCACCAGAGAAGCCAACAGGGAATGCAGAATGCGAGGCATTTCTTACTCGCAAAGAGAGCAAAACATGGGAATCACAGGAGGCCCTTGTTTTACTGTAAAATAAAGAGAGAATACCCTCACATCCTGCCTTGGCACCCAGTGAGTGTGAGTAAACATGAATCACAAAATTCTGCAGCATGAAAGATTTAAATCAATTTTGCTTGAACCATAGCTTCTCTCTCAAAATTTCATAAGATGATGAATCCAGTCACAACTATCATCACCGCCTCTACATATTTTAACTATTCACTATTTTTCTTGTGGATTCAAGTTTTTAACGGGCATGACACAGAGTAAACCAGAAAATCAAAGGACTGAAACTACAGATACTAAATATTATAGATGACTGGTCATTTATAGGTTTAAGTAAATTTGGTGGGTTGCATACCCCGCGAAATGGAGAATCAAAATCCATGATTAATGTCGACACCTTGGAACGCTGAGCATGACTCATCTAACAAGGCCATTGAATTGTTATGACACCTTAAAAAGCTGGGTCTGATAATGCCCCATGGTGTTAACCAAGATTAACAGGTGGTAACAAAGAATGTACGAGCATGCATTTTCTTCCAAAGTCTGACATCTATTGACTGGGGTAGAATTTTACAATTTAAAGACATGTACATACAACTCATAGACCAAAACTACCAAATATAACTACTATAGAATGGTCAGCTTCAGCTTAATCATTTTTCTCTGTGAACCATAAAATGATAATTGTTCACAATTGGAATGATTCTTTCTTAAACAAATTTGACTTTGTAACCATCTAATGCTGTTTTCACTAAGATATTAATCACCATCTCCTGGCACAACATGAAATTATAACATATAATTACAGAGATAAAATGCAGCCATAATTCCCAGTGAGAACACTTTCCGTCAGATACACAGTGCATATTAGCATGAAATTGACATCACAAGACGGGCTGAAAGAATGAGAAACTTTTATACTACTACCACTTGAGAGAGAGAGTATTTACCTGAAATATAAAATACTTGCAATGATCATTGGAAAGTGGTTGTGAGGACTTGATAATCTGATGCAAATCTGTATCCATGAGCTCATAAACCAAATACACATCCTTGAAACTTGTCCTCTGAATAGGCATCAAAACATCCTTCAGAGCAATTACATTCTCATGCCGGATATGTCTAAGAAGCTTCAACTCTCTGAGAGTCCTCAAAGCATCAATCTTGTTCTCAAACACATTATTGATTTTCTTGATGGCAACTTTCTCATTTGTTTCCCGATTAATCGAAGAGCAAACAACACCATAAGCCCCTTTACCTATAGGCTTAATTGGAACATACTTTGAATCAAGCTCAAATACAGTGTGCCACATTGAGTAATATTGCTTCCCGCTTGGCCTAATTCCATTTGGAGGCTCCACTAAAGTTGCCATTTCCCTGCAAATTGTCATTAAAAACTCTTAAAACTCTACAAAATCTCATCAACATTCACATAAAAGGAAAACCGATTCACTCACTTACCAATTAAAGCAAGATACATCTAATCAAATAAACAACTTGAAAAAAATTAAAGGCAAAAGAGCCTCAAAATGATCCAAAACGAGCCATAGCAAATATACAAACAAAGGCTTAAGAAAGGATGTGGAGTTGATACTTGCCGCAATCTTTGATCTTTTGAGATCACTTGGTTGCTTCTAACGTTATTCTCTGTGTCAAGTTGTCAACACTTCTTTACTTGCTAAAAATTTAATAAAAAAAGAACAGAACTCCCTCGTTTAACTGATTCCTCCAAGAAAAAAAAAAAGAGCAAATTCCAAAAGCAGCAAAGTCTTAAAACTTCCACCTCCAATTCTTGCTTAATCCCTCAAATAAACAAAACCCACCAAATCCTCCTCCAAAATCAAGCCAAGAATCACATGATCACAATCTAACCAAAACCCCAAAATCCTTTCTTTTTTCCCTCTACGCACAACCAAATCTCAAAACTCTCAAAACCCAGAAACCACTCTGCCTTCAAATAAGAAGCCTTTAAAGAAAAGCAAAATATTTTCCGTAATTCACCAGGATTGGAGCTGGAGATTATTTTCCATAATTCACCAGGATTGGAACTGGAGATCTTATCTATATAGTAGAAGTGATAAAAACTGATCTGATCTAACGGGGTTTTGTATGATACTCTATCTTGTCAGGATTAGACCAAGGGGGGAGGGCAGTGGTGAAAGACGTGAGGTGACACAAAAAAGACAGGTACAACGTAATTTGCTTTGGGTTTTAGGAAACTTCACCTCTCACTTCATGCACTAACAAAAATGCAGATATATTTGCGATCAGTTGACGGCTTAAGTTTGGCTCCGGCTCCGGCTCTGGCTCCTCCGTGTCTTTTCTATTTTATATTGAAAAAGAAAGACTAGGTCTAAAGGGTAACGTCTAAATTTATTTTCATTTGACAACAAGTTTCCCAAATTTGTTTTACAAAGAGTTGGAGACTTTATAATTGAGAATCATCTAAATAATTTTCTGATAGTTTATACTTTTAATATTATATTTTTCTGTTTTTAATGATGATCCCACTATTAAAAGCAAAAACAACAAAAACAAAAATACATTTAATAAAATTTTATTTCTTATAGACTTTGAATTGACTAATTTATTTTTTAGCCATTAAATTGACATTTTAAGATCAAGATTTTGACTTCAAATTAGATGAATTATTTTATTAATAAAATTAACTCAGAGTTAATTTATATATTATAATTTCATCTAAATATAAAAAAGATATCCCTATTATAAAATTAAATAGAAGTAATTTTTAATGAGATTTATTCTAATTATTTTTATCTTAATCAACATAAAAATTTTAAATTAACCTTAAATATAGATTTTAACTATCCGAATATTATTTTGAACCATGTACAAGAAAATAAATTCTAAAATACCTTAAAATCCAATATGTTTCTTGTTTAAAAAATAATAAAAATATCAAATAACCATCACAAATACATTTTTCTTTCACTAGGAGCAACATCTTATTTCAATTGGTCAAATGGGAGATTTGAGGAAAATGACTAAGAAATATTAAGCTAAGTAAGCTGATGAGTGAGCCAAGCTTAAGAACCCAAAATATATACAATATAGCTCATGGCCAAAAGGGCTCTCATAGGGATAGGCATGGTTTTGAACGTGGAAGGATATGCCTTTGTTATTGTAATTGGTAATATTTGCCTTTGCTTTTCGTTTAATCAATTACATGATTAAAATTTAAAAATTGTGAATTTTTACAGATTAACTAACTCTTTTATATATAAAAAACTTATTACGACTCTCCTCTGCTGTTGTGTGTGCATAAGTAAACGTCTCTAGCCACCACGTGGAAAGCAGCCAGCGTAGCCGGCTGGCTTTCCTTAATTTGCCAATAGGACCCAACTCCAGCATTTTATTCATTTTTCCATTCTAATAATGCCTTGGGTGGATTGGATTGGATTGGATTCATTAGGCAATTAGTATCTAAAATGCAAATAAAAAGTGAAATGACACAGAAGTAAGAAGTTTTGGAAAAATAGTATACTTTCAGATGTAGTGATTGGATACATTGAAGATTTGAAGATGTAGTGATTGGATTCATTGAAAAAAATTTAATTGATACTATAATTTAATTAAACTTATGAAGGTTATTTTGTTAAATCGGTCAACTAGTTCATAAAAAAAATCACATAATTATTAAAATTAGAGCTTCAGGATGAGATTTTTTAATTCTAAAGATTTAATAATTGGAATAGCGATAAAAGAAACAACTTTTAGAAACTTTTGTAAACATTTAAGCGCGATCCAATGATCATATTAAAAGTTACGGTTTTTTTCAGCCATAATTCTGGATTGACGCTTAGATCTCTTCCTAAGCTTAAACATATTCTATTAGTTCACAAATAAATCTGCTAGACTATTCATGTAATCTGTTAAGAGTAAATCCTCGTATAGTTATAGTAGACCAACATCTAACTGTCTAGAATCACCTATGAAAACTACTGTGTAAATAATAATTTTTAAAAGTTTTTTTTTTAGTCTACAGGTTGGATAAAATATATATTATTACTTATAAAAAATTATTTGAATGAAAAAATTTATAAAATTATGATTTTTATGTAAAATGATAGACAAGTTATATAATTATATCCAACTAGCATACAAGTTGGTAGTTGTTAGCATTTTAAAAGTGCAACATGTTTAAATATCGTTATTTTAAAGTGTGATTAGGCTTAAAAATAACGACAATTAGTAAATATCATGTTTCAGAAGCGTAACATGATGAAAGTATACTATTTCACTAAATTTTTTTCATAAAATATTATTCTGTCAAAACTTTTAATTTACCGTGTTAATTTAAAAAATGATTTGGATTCACTGGGTTCAAAGTTACTATTACAAATGTTTCCTGTTGTCTTCCATGAGTATATAAATATGTTTGATATTACGATACAAATGTAGTTTTTAAAAGTGTATTTTACTTAAAAATATATTAAAATAATTTTTTCAGATATTTTTTTATTCTTTACATCAGCATATAAAAATAATTAAAAAAAATTAAAAAATCAATTTAATATTTTTTCAAGTAAAACACATTTTTAAAATACATTATAACATGTTCTTGTGAGTTCAACTTTAAAATATTTGAACCACTTTTTTATCTAATCTAAATCATAAATTAAATTACATAAAATTTATTTTGATATGATTCGGTTTACTTAATAAATTATAGAACACTCTAAATAATTGGTAAAAACATGATTTAATTTTGAAAAATCCGATCTTTTTCTAGACATGTTCATGATAAAACCCTACCACAATTGAACTCTTTTTATCAAATAAAATCCTTAAACACCGAAAATAATGAGTTTTACATTTTAGTTTTTTTTTTAATTTGACAATTTTGTTATTGTTCCAAAACTAATTTTATTTAATTACGCTATAGAAATATTAAATTGAAAGAAAAAAGGGTTCATGAGCTCCATTAGAAAATCCCAAATGTTTTATTATAGAAGATAATTGAGTGGTGGAAATAAAAGTATGTATAGTGAGAAATCAGGAGAGTAAAATGTTTTGTATTGTAAAATACTTCCAGTTGCTATCTGTTCTTTTGTACAATATATCCCTTTATTTTTTCAGAAAATATTAATTCAAAACAATGTTGTTTTTTTTTTTTTTAAATATCATAGAGCGAAATTAATTTGAATTAAAAAAAAATATCATAGAGCGAAATTAATTTGAATTAGTCTAGATTAATCTATACAATTCAAGAATAGAGGGAGACAGGGTTTTATTATATATCTATGATTACAACAGGAAGCAGTGCAACGGCAGATGACGTGTGATCTTCATCCTGATAAACTTTCCCCTCTATAATTAATTAAGCAGTATTCAGAAACAGCACATTGAATGGGCCACACAATGTGGGTTGGCCCGAGCCCACAAAGAGATTAAAATAAAAAAATAATAATTTGTGGCTGCTGGGATTCGAGCCCGGGTCTCCCCGGCCACAACGTGGAATCCTCACCACTAAACTACAGCCACTTTACGTTCTTTCATTCGCTACATTATATATAAATAATATAAAATACTATGAACCTTAGCCATTAGTTACATTGCACCACTGCGTCAAATTGTGAAACAGCTACGTATGCTGCTGGGGTAGATCTGTGGGAGTAAAACCAAATAATGTGATAATTAAGTGCGAAGCTTCTGTAACACAGAGGGGGCTACGGGCAATCTCTGAACGAGAACCACCAATGACTGTCACTGTCGTATATGCAAGGTGAGGGTATGGTTTTCTGTAAAAGACTGGTGAAGTCTACTGGAAAATAATGAACAAACATAAACAATGATATTTGGAACGAGAAACAAAGAGATTATGGTCCACAGTAATACAGGATTTCCCTTACCTAAGCTAAAAAAAAACCCAAGGGAGCATATATTCTTTGGCTTCAATCTTGTTGCCCTGTCTTCTTTCAAACATCTTTACCTTTTCAGTATGTTACTTCCTAATTTAACTCTTTTTTTTTTCTTTTTCTTTTTATGATGCAACAAGGTTAAAGCAATTTCTACTTCTTTCTTTTATTTTACAATACAAAGGAGTTCTTAATTCCCAAATAACATGCTTCTCCACTTGCGTGGAGTTCAACGCCACATGCATTGTTGTTTTTATCTTATTTAGTTACATCTATAGAAACTTGAATCATATCTTACATTGAGCTCAAAATTGTTATGGATAATATTTATTTATTCATATACACATCAAAATCTGTACATAATCAACTGTTTATCTAGGATACCGATCAAAAATTCAATATTAATTTTCTTTTTAAAAGAATTCTCCGATCTAAATATTTTTTATGAGAGCTTTATTTTTATTATATTAAAATAAAATTATATGTTATATGTTATATTTATAGTAAATCATATTTCATTCAAGAAAATTTAATTTAGTAACAGAAATTTTAACTATTCAAGAAGTATTAATAATTTTTTTAATATCCTTTATAGTACCGGACGACACTCACGCGTGCATATATATATATAGAAGTACTAGCAAAATAAAAGGGGCTAATGAAACAAATTCTTGGGAATGGAAGTCGGCAATAACTGGAAAAGGGTCACGGCCAGTAGACCATGGCAGCAACTTTGATGTTCCCCCATTTTCTTTTTGTTACATAGAAATGGCATGTTAATATGTGTATACATGTGTTTTATAATGTTAGAACTGTTTTTAGTAATGTCGAAGCATAATGCATCCAACGTGGATTCCGACTGGGTGCCTAAGTGTATGCAAGTGGATTAGACAGACTAGGTTCTCTCAGTTTGATTATAAAATTCCAGCTGACCTGGCTAGAGCATACATCCTGTTGGCTTCTTGGAATCCCAATGGGCTTGCAATAGTTGGAAAGGAATTTGCATAATGTGATTTATATGCTGTTTCTTTATTTTTACATAAAGAATCCAGTGTCGATTCAAATGATTGTTTTTGCGGTGCTTATTTAATATTATTTTTTTAAAATATTTTTAAAAAAAATTAAAAATTAAAATTTTTTATTTTGATTTAAATTAAAATATTTTTAATATTTTTGAATTATTTTAATATGTTGATATTAAAAATAATTTTTTAAAAATAAAAAATCATTTTATTATATTTTAAAATGAAAAATACTCTAAAAAGTAATCGCAATTATAATCTCAAGTATAATAAAATAAAAAAATAACGCAGCTTGATATTTTATAGAAAAATATTGGCACTAATTATACATAAATTAAGTTCAACACTCATTTTATTAACATATATTATTATTGTGGAGAATAGTAATCATTTGATTGTTATATACTAGGAAATTAAAGTTCGTCCATGTTATTTCAAAGAAGAAAAGAGGGTGAAGCTTCGTACTTGAACATGGGGAATAGATAAAAAAAGACTAAAATAAAAAGGAATAAAAAGACTGGAGAGGAGCAGGCCGGAAAAGTGTAGGAAATGAAGGGAAGGCAGCGACAAACTTGCCCATAATGTAATGTAAATCTCACGTATTCCCGATCACCTTTCCCCCCCTAGGCTCACTTTTCTCTGGTGCTCTTGGATTACCTCCAGGCCTCTTATTATTTGTTAATCAAGAACCATTATTATATTTAGCACCACCAGAGACTTTAATTATTTCTGATCCCTCTACATGACAGATATATAAATTAATGAACATTAGGGTTTCATACTCATCAACGCTTCTGCTTCCTTCCATGGTTTTAACACAATGGTTAATTATCAAATGGTAGCATTTTACAGGATTATGATTTCCTAAAATTAATCCCAGTTCTTTTCTAGTACTTTTTTTAAAGAAATGATAAAAAAAACATTATTTTAATATATTTCTAAATAAAAAACAGAAAGCACATTAAGATTAACTAAAGAATGAAAGCAAGCAAACCCTCACTAGCTAATCATAGGTTTAATAAGCCCAGAAAGTATTAGCAAGGGGTTTTTCTTCAATGACTATGACTTACCATGATTTCTGTAACTAAAATTACACATATAAAAGTCCTTCACTTACATTTTCAGCAACAAAAATAACGAAGTCACTAATGCCTCAAGAGTCATGGTAAGAATCTCAATTTAAGCCACTTCATTCCTTCGTCTCTCTGCTCAAGCTAGCTAGCCTCGAGCAGATTTCAACAGGCCCAAAGCCCCCGCACTTATCCTTCATTCTATTTGTGCTACGAAACCTGTTATAAAATCGCCAGAGCCAATACACCCCATCCTTCATTCTATTTGTGTTACGAAACCTGTTATAAAATCGCCAGAGCTGCATCTCTGTATTGAATCCCTTTCCCTCTTCTCAGTGGGATCAGAGGCCTGCTCTTCATGTTTGTGGCAGACCCTCTTTTTCATTAGATATATTATTGAATAATAAAAAATAAAATTAATGACTATATATGCACTAAACAAAAGCTGCCATAGAATCTTAGTTTTTCTTGCCTAAGTTTTGCTATTACACAAGTGGGGAGAATAAATATTGCGAGTTTCAGGTTTGCCATTATTTCCCCCTACCTTTAGGACCTTTGCTTGCCTTTCGCCAAAACAAGGGCAGATTATTGTCAAGCATTAGAGTACCCTTTCTCATGCTCGCTATGTATCCAGAGAGTGCCGAAACCTTCATCTAAATACTATTTTAGAGCAAAGTCAAGCTGTACAAAGTTTCTTCTTTGGAGTGACGAACAAGATAGGGAAACCTCAGAGAGAGAAGAAAGACATGGTTTTTGATTTCTTTGATATGCATGCTACTTTGAAGTTGAGACCAGGAAGTGAGGAGAGAATATAACTGAGGAAAATAGGCAAGTAAAGGTAAGAAAAGAGGTTTTTGTGGGTGATTCTTTCAGCAGAAAGTGAGAGGTTATGAAATCATCCCAGTTAATTTATTAGGCTTTTCAATGGATTTTCAAGTCTAAGAAGTTACATAATGGAGCCTGGAAATCTCCACCTCCAGCATCAGTTTCAAGAACAGTTTACAGGATATTATTCTTCTTTTTCATCACAACCTGCTGAGTACAGTAAGGTTTCGAGCATCAGTGACCTGAACCCAGAAGCTGCAGACATAATTTTGTAAGTATATTTCTCCTCTCGCGGTAGAATTCTACTCGTTTATTCTGTTTCGATACTCTACGAAACACAGATATAAGCTTCTATATATATTTTATGGATTTTAAAGAAATATAGAATCATTTTTTAAATGATGGCTAGCTACTTCCTCTAGAAACTTGAGGCTTTCTCCTAGGTTTCATGCAGCAGCTTTTGATTTCTGGAATAGGGACTTGAAAAGGAAGAAATTAGGTTGGTCACTGAAAGTTAGGCAAGCTTCAACTTTATTTGCCAACTGGTTCACCTTATTAATCTTCGAAAGGCGTTTTCTTTGATATTGCAGTTGATTTTCTAGGGTTTGTGAGCATGCAGGTAATCAGAACCTAGGATGATGTTACTCAAAAAAGTATTTATCATAATCATTTGTTTCTCTAACATGATCATGCAGAAATATTAGAAGTAATACCCACAACAACTATCTAACTGACTGCATCCCGAATTCAAGTGTGTCTTTGCCAACTGTTTCCATGACTCAAGGATTGAGTTTCTGCCACGCATCTAGTTTCAACCAACAATCTGCAGCCGGTGAATTGCTTCTGGGAAAGACCAAAGAAGAGTTCCCAGGCTCTTTTTGCAATCTGAGTGACATGATGCACACTAGCTCTAATGTAGAGGAAACAGATTTTATGTCATCAAAATACAAACACCAAAATTCTCATGATCTAGGTGAAAATCAATGGTCTCCCAACAGCTTTTCTTCTCTTCGACATATTTTTTATTCTAATGCCCAAAATGCAGAAAATCTGCAGAATCTATCTGCTTGTAGAAGATATAATTTTAGCCATATCTTGCCAACTATCAATATCTCAAAGTCAGATTTGTGTTCTTCATTAGTATCAAGTTCTTTGGACTTGAACTTACAAACCATGGATCTCTTATCAACAAGTACTTATGATGGTGACACCAGTTCTAGCCAGTCTTCAGAAAATACTCACATTCATTTCACGCGAGAACTTAAAGATGGCCCTTCAAATAGCTACAACAAAGTGGGTGTCTTCTCTACTTCATGATCTTATTAATTTCAGTATAGTTATGCCAATTGTGCCTTCACTAGTAATACCCCACGCATCGTTCCATTACTAGCGATACACCTCATTTCCAAAGCTATTCAACTGAAAAAAGGTCTTCTTTATTGTGAAGACATCAACATTTGAAGATGGATATGGGAGAAAAAAGAGACCCAGCAGTGTTTCTCAGTTAAATAACTTCCTTGCTGAAGCTAAGAAGAATCGGCCCGCGCCATCATCCTGCCCAACTCTGAAGGTGATGATTTAAAGCAGTAGTAATTTAACCTTGATCAATTCAGTTTCCATTTTAAAATCTAGTATAAATGTGGAATTGGGTTTTTAACTAGGTCAGGAAGGAGAAACTAGGGGACAGGATTGCTGCTCTTCAGAGGCTGGTGGCGCCTTATGGCAAGGTAATTGTTAAATATTAACCTGGCTTATTCTCCTGCTAAGGAATGTCTAAAGAAATACATTACAATATCAATATGACCATGGGTTTTTTTTGGGAACTTTGTAACTTGCAGACAGATACTGCCTCTGTATTGACAGAAGCGATTGGGTACATACAATTTCTGCATGACCAAGTGCAGGTGATTTATCGCTCTTCAAGTTTCAGTTCATAGTATAAACTTTCAAGCTGATAACATACTTCCTCTCTTAACTCAGCCTGATAAAATGGTGGAGTTTGTTCTTATTATTAACTTTATTTAGTCCTTGATGCCAACAGACAATGAGCGTACCGTATATGAAGTCATCAAACATCAAGCCAGCTAGAACAGCGCAAGCGGTAAGACACACTTCTCCTCGTAACTGCACGTACCTTATTAGATCATAAATGGCATCTACTCTCCATTGTACCAAACTTATCTAATCTTTTTTCAAAGGAAAGGGCTGCGAACCATTATAATTATTTGATTCTATTAATTTTTTATATGATCAATATCAATCTATTTTTATCAGTGTTCAAGTGAGGAAGATGGGAAGGGACAACAAAAGAGAGATCTTAGAAGCAGAGGCTTATGCCTTGTGCCCCTATCTTGTGTATCGTTCTTTAACACTTGCGATGGCGGCATCTAAAGATCCCCAAGGAAAGAATTGAAGGTGGCATATGAGAAGGAAGTTTGATGACTTCATGATGGGCTCAAGGCTGCAATAAAGAAAGGCTCTCCATGTGAAATGTTTAGTTTTAGTAATGCAACTACTGTGATTCATATATGGAGCGAACAAGTATTTCTTCTATCAGATTGTTCCTCGTAAATCCGCTTCCCTTTCAACTAATTGGAAGCCTACCTTAGTTTGATATTATTTGTGAGTCAAGGACAAATGAATCTCTGAATATCTAAGTAATTCTTCAAGGTATTGATACCAAGCATATTTGGTCTCAGAGGTCATGCTTGCCTAGCTTTTGTGTCAGACTGTTCTTCATAACAGAGCAAATGCTTAAAAGGATATTGAAGTCTTACATGGTATAAACAGGGAAGGGATATTCTTTTCCCTTTGGTCACTCACAGTAGACTGCTAATAGATGTTCAGATGTTTTTCCATTATATTTTGTGTAGAGCAATAAGACACCAGGATTTATTGACGATACATGTGTGTTAGAATGGCAAATTGGATCTTCACAAAACCTCTGATGGCTTTTTTATACATGTATTTATACATGAATTTGAACCAGAGAGCACGCAATTAAGTATCCTTCAAAACAGAAAATCACATCAATACTGGTTATTTAAGCACCTTTCAGTATCCTGCCTTTCTTCTTCACCAGAACAACTGCATCACAGGCAAATAATATTGAAAATAATATAGCCATTAAAATTCCAACGCTAAAAAGGAAGAACTTTTTAGCAATATTGTGATGTATCAGTAATGTACCATCTTCTTCTTCTTCTTCTTCTTGTCAAGATAAGCGACGAGCTCTGCTTGTTGAGCAAGTGATTCCTCGAGAGCCTGATTAAACAGAGTAATAGATACAAATGAGAATTCTAATTTACAGTTCAGTTTTTACTAGTTTTGTTTTCATCACCATGCAATATTCATTTCCATGTGAAACTACCTTCTTAGTTGCCATAAGCTCCTGCTCCAGGCCATCAACACGGCTTAAAGCAGCATTTAGCATTTCCTCCTTTTCAGGTGGCATGGAAACGGGCTTAGCACTCAGAACACTAACTTTATCTTCCAATTCAGCCATGCGTTTCAAGACAGTCATGTAATCTTCACTAGAGAGGGCAGGTGACTGGTGTTCCAGGCTCTTAACCGCTGTGTCATCACAATAGACAGGACTTGAGTAGATGGTGGCATCAGTCATCTTTCTGGGAACATTGCGTGTCACTCTAATCATGGTGACAATGCCCGTAACCAAAGCCATGACACCAGTGAAGAGTGGTGAGTTGATTGCCTGGGGAGCCTTGCAAGCATCATACTGAGTATAGCAATCTGCTTTTGCGAATCATAGAAACTTGGAAAATGTCATTTGGATTTGTAAGGGAAAGACAGACAGAGCTTATAAGGCAAATTGTTCGACATTTAGCATGCAGCTCGTTGCCTTGATTCTCAGTTTACACGAGCCAAATTTCTCATATCGTACGTCGCCACTCCAATGACAAAAATTCGGAAAAACCTCCATACCATGATTTCTTACGAAGGGCATAAAATCTTTGTTTTTGGTTGAAGAATGCCCTTTCATTTCCTTCATCATTTTAAAAAATAATGGTCACCTCGACATCATCCTTTATTTCCGCTCAAAATAACCTGAGTTTACTTTTGTAGCGAAGTAAAATATTTCTTATAATTATTGGCATGTCATTTTCAGTGAGCACATACAGTACACACACTGCAGAGGATCCATGGCTTGATTAGTAATCAAACTTGATTGAGAGACATGATGGTCAGCAAACCACGGAATTACTCTTTAATTTCTAGAAAATTCGAGAAACAGATAAAAATCTAAATGCAGTCTGTAACAGTTCCAGATTTCTCTATTTTTCCAGTGGGCTTGCGGATTAATTCGACAGTAAGTTCTCAGAAAGAAATAGGAAAACTACAAGTCATGAGAATCGTTCTTCTAATTTCGTACTCTCCTTAGGCTCAATTAGAATTCAGTCAGAAATCACCAGATTATACTTACGTAATTATATTAGTAAGTGAATATACCTTTTGAAAGATCAAACATGCCATTGTCCACCTTTTTCCAACTCATATCCATAGATTTATCAACTAAAAGGTCATAGTCCTCAAACTTGTAAGCCTGCAAGTTGAATTTTCCGATAAAAGAAAACGTGGAAAGGAAAAGGCATTAGACCTGTCACTCACTTGGCAAAGAGAAATAAAGAACAACCGGTAGATCAGAAAACAAAAATCTGTCTACTAAACAATAATGTGTTTTGTGGAGCCTATATAGGGTAGCATAAATTCAGGTCCCTTTTAGGCTAAAAGATTTACAGGAATTTTGTTAGACTGACCCTTTCAGGAACAGGAGAGGATTGTGGATGCTCTGGAGCTGACTCCACCTTAGAAGAGTCAAGTCTCTGTCAATCAAATAGGAAGTAAGAGTAGGGTTTTGATATGAACTCTGAAAACTCAAGCCATTAAGAAAGGAAACAGCTCAGAGAAAAGAAATAATGTGGCTCCCTATACATGCCAAAAGAGGCATAACCAAAAGGGTAATGGAATGGGAAATGTATAATCAATATTAGACCTTTGAGCAGCGTAGGTCATCCTCACAGATTGTTTTTTCATCAGGATATTGAGTTCCGCATTTCTTTGCACATTTGTGATCGCCATTTTGAACCATCTGCAAGTCAATGAGTCAATAAAGAATACTAACTCAACAATAAACTAAATGAGATGATCGTTTCAACTGTAGTAAAGAGAAGAAGTCACAAAAAGAATTGAATATCACCTTCAGAATCTCTGGGTCATTCCAAGGCCCTTTATCAGAACGCACACAGCCTCCTTTGTCAGCACATGTGCAAGTACCTCCAAGAAACTCTGGCAACTCACTAATACAAAAGCCATTCATTGGGATCGAAAGGGAAAAAAGGAAAAAAAAGGCTACGAGAAAAGCGCCACATTGTGTGGGAACAAAAAATAAACACGGGAATATTTCATAACACCGCTTAGAACTTGAACAAAAGAGTAAATACAATTGTGAAGACTAGAAACCGAGATGAGAAAGATGGTTGCATAAGCAACCGATTATAAACTTACCTGGCATCAATTATCTCAAGCAACTTGCTCTGATACTTATTCCCAAGAACCTGGTGAATTATATCTTTCATTAATCAAATAATTTCCCACATCAAACTGCAATTCAGAATAGAAATGCTGTACACTCACATGGATCTTTGCTGTTGTCTTAGGGTCAAGGAAAGATTTAACGGTATTCCACAACATCCTGAATCCAGAACCGGCATTGATGATGAACATGCGGTTCAAGGTCTGTCGGGAAGCCACGAATTTACACCACATCACAGTTATTATGTCATTTGTACATAAAAGTTATTGCTTGTTTTAAGACAAACACACCGGTTAGTACCTCGGGATAATTGTCGCCATCAATCTTCTGAAGGCGAGTAATGAGATCCCTAGCAGCTTTGGTGAAACTTTTGAGGCCCTGTGGTTATTAGTTCTGGGAGTGAATAAATATTTCCTAGGTAATCATACAATGGTCTATAAATACGGGAAGGGAAAGGAACACGTATTTGAAGATCACCCTAACACTTGTCTAGAACCCAACTACCCCTTCCACAAAATGTTCTGAACTTCATACGAAAGATACATGAAAAATAAAATCTTAATCATATTACTACAAAGATGATAGAAATTATTTGGTATACCCATATCAGTCATTATTGTTCAAACATACCACTCCTTGCACATCCAAGATGGTTGTACTTTGATCAATGTGCCTCTTTGCTGCTAGTGAACAAGCTGGAAACTTGGCATCAAAAGTTCTCTCAAACTCTCGTACATGGTATTTGACATAGCGGTCCATGTTTGTGACTTGCATTAGCTTGGCAGGATCTGCTTTGCCTAATGACTCAATGTACACAGGTCTTCCTTCTTTATCTACTCCATGATGCCCTTGGGGATAATATTCCAAGACTTCATTGAGTTCCTGGAATTCAAACTCCTGAAAAATAGGAAAATACAGAGAAAAACGCAATGAGACTCGGTCAACGCTCTGTGTGGTGGATAATAAGCTAAATGAAGATAATAAATGATCCTTTAAAGAACCATTTCTATGATCAATACCTCCAGGACTGTGTCAGCACCAAATTCCTTCCTCCACTGAAGCATATCAGACCACATTTGCTTTGTTTTCTCGATATCAAACTTCCTGGCCTTCAAGAATCTACATTATTGGAGGACAAGTCTAAAGATTAATCAAGCATACTTGCATATTATCTACTGATCCTAATAAAAAAATTATGTATTTAATGGTTGAGGATAAAATCTGAAATTAAAGATTCAATCAGATCATTGAACATGGAGCCAGAAAAGCAATAACCTGAGCATCATATGATAATCATCATGCTTTGATGGAAGCAATTCCTCCAATATCAGCACTTGACGGAAAGCATCAACAGCCTTTAGTTCCTCAGAATCGTGCACATCCTCAATTTCAACAGACATGACTTTGCTACTTCGGCGACTCTTTCTTGTCAAAGAATGCCTGAATTTGTTGGAGGCACTGATTGCTTTCTTTTTTATTGACTCAATTCTATTCTTCCTCTCATCCCCAGTATGTTCCATATCTGGCACTGCAAATACATAGCAACCACAACTAACAAGATGCATCAGAATATCAAAGCGTGAAATTGTCCTACTCTCGTAGCAAGCAAAATATCCAGTTTAGCTGTATAGCACAAAAAATGATATTTAAAGTCACAACATAAAGAAATTTGTTAAATCAGTCAATACATGACAACAATGTACAAGAAACAGCACTCGTTAAATTAAGAAAAAAAAATGAAATCCTGATCCATAGATCGATGACAGCCATTTCTTCTTCACCAGAGTAGCATTAATATTGCCAATATTCACACAAGAATTGATACACACACATGTATATGTACATGTATGTATGCAAGCATGAATATTTATGTATGAATGAGTAATGCTAATTTCACAGGGAGTTCTTCTCGGAATCACTTTCTGAAAAATCCCATGCATTGAATGAGTGGATATCATAAGTGTAAGGCTGAAATTTGTTGGAAAGTAAATAGTAGACAAAAACACATTGAAATGTAAGATTGAATGAGGCAGCTAACCTGGGTTGGGAGTCAAAGGTGCACAAACTGCAGCTGCCATTGGTGTGAGGAATGTGCTTTTACATAAAAAAAATGATGCCGCAACCAAACGAAAGCCTTAGCCTAATTAATGCCTGCATTTCACCAACATAACCAACTTATAACATAAAACAAGAAAGAACAAAAAACAAGATCACAAACACAAAACAAACAATATCCTTCCTTTCAACAAAATGAAAAATGAAGATTGGAAGAGAGGGGTACCTCCGCAAAGGGTGAGTGAAATTGCGAGAAAGGGCTACAAATAGAAAGAAAGAAAATAATAATTCGGGGAGATTTTGGCGGGGAGAGAGACAGCGAGGAGCACACGACGCGGGAAGAGTAGACAAATACTATATTGGCATTTGTTGTTTAATGTTAATTTTTAATGACAAATGCTGATCTTCTTCTTGTTATTTCTGTTAATATGTTTTTCTTGACCATTTCTTATAAGCCATAGATAGCCAGTGGGTCTGTTTTTTTGTTTTTCGGTAGCTGTTCTTTGCCAAGACAGGAAGAGATTTTTAGGAGGAGAGAGTGGAATTCCACCACTTCGTTTCCATAACAGAAAATTGAATATTACGCCCCATCAGCACTCTTAACTGTCACATTTCCTTACAAAAATCCAAAAAATATCAGTACTTCCTCTCGACAGACAGCTTCAGGAAGTGACACCTGTTTCTTGCTACGTTGCAATAAGCAAACTACACTCAAGCTGGCTTTTTTATTACAACTGGGGTAACTTCAGGGCATCATGTCCCCTTCAAAATCCATTGCTATCTTTGATGGCATTACCAGAGAAGTCAAAATAGAGTTAAAGAAGCACTCAAGCAAAAGTCTTCCAGGCAGAAAGATTTTGTGAAACCATCTGTTGACAAAATCAACAATATTTTATTAATAATATTAGGCATTAATTTGTCAATAATATTCGGTATCAATTTGGTGCCACCTACCTTGTCCTTATCTTTTATATAGATATTTGCCTATAAATAGTCAATGCATCCAAGCATTGTACACACCACAAGAGAAAAAAAAAAGAGGATGAAAGAAGAATAATCCCATAAAATTATGAGGTATTTGTGAGATAGTAAGTGAGGTGTTTTCTTCTAATAATAGAAATATTTTTGTTGTTCTTCTATTATAAGAAAAAAGTTGTATTCCCACATTACTTAGTAAAATCTTTCTATACTTACCTATAGACGTAGCCCAATTGGATGAACCACGTAAATTCTTGTGTGTTTCATTTCTCATTTTAAATTGTCACTTACCTTTTGTCTTGTCGGATTTGCATGCTAGCATCCTAACAGTGGTATCAGAACTTTCTGATTAGTGTTGTTAATACACAAAGGTTATTCATGTATACGGTTACTATTCACTTATACGACATTAATCATCCATACGGTACTGTTCACTTACGTTAATGTTGGCATAAGTCATACATTGATTCATAAAAATATGTAGAAATGATCCATTCATGATTTTTTTAATCTTTTTTATTAAAAAATTCATTCACAATTATAATAATTTTTATTTAAAAACAATGCTTTTAATAAAAAATGATTTCATAACAAAAAATGTGAATAAAAATTGAGTTTTTTTATTAAAGTAAATATACCTTTTCCTTATTAATTCAAGTTATTATGATATTTATGGATATTTATCTTAATTGTCATTATTTTTTACTCAAGGAATCATGTTGTTCTTGAAAACAAAAACATTATTATCAAAGCAAAAGCAAATGATAATAATAAAGAAAAAATTATTCATGTTGCATGGTAAAATGATGTTTTTGTTCTCCATTATATTAACCCAAAATGTGTTGTTTGGGAGCGAAATGGTCATTTCACAATTTTCAACTGGTTTTACCAAAATTGAAGGGGGATATAACAATATTTTCATATTTATTTTCACAATAAAATAATTTATTTATCCTTTAAATAAAAAAAATTGACATACATGAGCATTTTAATCTTTTTTTTTCTTTTTCAAAATAGTTAAATTACTTAAATACACTTAAAGAAAATTCTTTTAAAGTTGATGTCCAGATGCTTTTCAGTCTTTTACTTTTATTTAGCATAATAAAATGACTCCATTGCTTTGAAAAGTTTTTTATAAAAAAAATTAAAAATCATGTACTAGGCCAAATTCTTATTTTCCTTATGGTTTTTCAATTACATTCAATTTGAATGACTAAAAATTTAATTTATTAACAAATATAAAATAATAATAATAAAAAAAACCTTGTACTAGTGAGTGGATGTTCAATAAGCCCTTTGAATAGAGATTGTAACTTAGTACTACGCCAAAAAATCTAATTGTCATGTTATCCAAAGCATCCGGTGGTGGCACAACTGATAGGGTTGGCATGTGTTGTCAGATTTATGTCAGTTTAGTGAAGTTGATTTTTTTTCCATCTCTTTTCTCTCTTTTAATCTCAGAACTTGTCCTAATCTAGTTAAAATTCAATTATGTCGCCTAGTTTCGCCTAGTTTGTATTTATTTTTATTTTTATTTTTATTTAAATTAATTTTAATGTTTTATGAAGTTTATTTATTTTTTAATTTCATCCTTGAACATTTATGTTATTTATTTTTTTTAATTCAATTTGATCCTAGTTCTTTTAATTTTTTTTTATCATTTTCTTGATTTATATTTTTTTTATTTTGTCTCTTAATATTTTATTTCATTTATATTTTATTTAATTTTGATCCTCATCCTTTTTATTGTTGTTCTTTTATCTCTTTTTTTTAATTTGATTTATTTTTCAATTTAGTTCCTATTTATTTTTTTTTCATTTAATTTTTATACTAGAATTGTTTCTAAATATTTTGATTATTATTTGTTTTGTTTTTAAATTTTTTATAATTGAGAGTTTTGCTTTGTGAATATTTTGTGTTTATTTTCTACAAAGTAATCTCAATTTCTTGACTCAAGTCTGAATATTAACTTAATTTAAATTCAGTTTTTTTAAGGTTTTTTTAATTATTTTTTCATTGATATCTTTTGACATTGAATTATTAAGATTTGAATGTCATAACTTGTTTTAATTTTTTTTTATAGAGGTTATTATTATAATCTCGTAAAAGATTTGTAGAAGAATACCAAGTCACAGGCAGCTGAGATTGCAATAATATTACAGCAACTCGGAGAGACGCACAGCAGAGGAGAAATGGGAGAAAGTACATGATTGTACTGGGAGCCTGAAGCACAATCCTGCAATCCCCAAAACCCAAGAAGACAATGGCAACCGTAGCAAGGAGCTGCTGCAAGATTGAAAATCTCTCCATTATGAATGGCAAGATTGAAATTCTACCACAAGAAGAAATTCTCAGCAGCTCGAGAGTGCGAAAGATCTCCTCAGCCCAATCAATGAAGTGGATGTGACACAAGAAACAACGACAGTCCACAACAGCAAAAGTAGATACAGTCTGGGAGACGATTGCAGGAGTCAAATAACTGAAAATCTGAAAGTGCAGTGCAAACGTCACAGCAGTGCTCTCATTGATAGCAAATCCTTCACAGGCAAGTAACAAAAGCAAAATAGGAAGATTCAAAAACCGAAACCAAAGGGCAGAACTCAGTGGGTGACTGTTCAGTTGGGTTTTAATGGGCATAAAGTTGTATACAACCCAAAAATAATCAGATTTTCGACAGAAACCACAAGTAAACATCCCTCTTCAGAGTTCCAAGTATCAGAAGTACCCAGAGCGATCACTCTAGCAGGTTAGAATTATTATTTTTTTTACGTATTTTTTTTTTTTGGAATTAATTGATAGCATAGGATTTTTCATTCGGCAGCAGCTTCAAACCAACAGGAAATCAAACGCGATCTTTTAAACAAGTTTCTGGGTAGAACTAAAGGAGCTATCCCTAGCATACAATTCGCACTGTTAACATCTGTTTGAATTCCCTATTCAAATGTAAGAACAGTCTGAGAGTATTCATGAGTTTTAAAAGAGAGGACAGAAAGAAATGGTAATTTTTAAGGCAGATACATCAAATACAACCAGGAAATCAATGTGCTGACAGACCTGGACAGCAAGAAAGGTTCTATCCGCGAAGAAACAGATGGAAACACACAATGGCTAGTGTGGCTATATTTTACTGGATAAAGAATTACCAGGAAAAATCAAGAATAATCAATCTCACATGGATAAAACATAAAACGATAGTGTGATACATGGTACTGTTACAACTTGCATTGATTTTACAATATTACCTCCGGTGTTCACCCTTTGTCCAAACCCCCCCTCTAAATCCAACATCTTCAATGGGGAAAGACACCAAATTTGGACACCAACTTGCATTTACAATCTTCAGAGATGGCATCACTTGTTGCACCATTTCCCACTCCATTTCTAAATCTGAGAGAGATTCCAACACCAATCCCTCAATTTTCCATGCACTATTATTCTCTCCAAAAAAGGCTTCATGCATCCTAGCCAGATTTCCAGACGATATCCAGAGATATCTTAACATATGAAGTGAAATGGGATTGAGCCAGGCAGGACTTGGCTTCCCCGGATAAAATTGGAGACAGAGCTCATGGAGCTCCGGTGGAGGGTAGAGTTTATCCAGTTTATCTACAAGACCACTACCATGGCTATGAAAGCAACTTACTGTTAGGAATTGAATTTGTTGAAGGTTTACCAAAGCACTGACCTCACTATCTCCAATCTCATCATCCCAAACTAGGTGCAGACCAAGTTTCCTAAGTCGACTCAAATTTCTCAACTCTGCAATCCGACATCCTTCTAACTGGCTTGCTCTGGCAGGTCTAAATCCCAAAAGAACTTCAAGATTTGAAAGCCTTCCTAAGCCTTTAGGTAAGTATTCAAGTGAGCCACAGTGACTAACATCTAAGACCCTGAGTTTCTTGAATTTTGTGAGATAAGGAGGCAATACTTTCAGATTTTGACTAAAACTCAAGTTCAAAATCTCAAGGTTTTTAAGGTTCTCAAGTGAAGGTGGGAGTTGAGTCAAAGGATGGGTGTTGCTTAAGCTAAGGTATGCCAAATGCTGAAGGAAACCAATATCAGATAATAGACTTGTGAGAGACATTTCGAAAATTGATTTGTGAAGATCTAAGACTCGCAAGTATTTGCACTCACTGAACTTGTTTGCAATGCTTGATGATATCTTGTTCACTTCACCAGTCTTGGTCGTGGACAATAATGCTCGGAACTTGTGATTGGCAACAAGTTGCTTTGGATCCATTTTGGTGTCAATTCCAAAATGGTGGCAGCCTCTACCATTATCTTTAAAGAATGCATTATTTTCAGCCATTTTGATAACCAATTCACGAACCATATCATGAATCTTGCAGGTGAGGATAGTTCCATTGTAAGTCTTTTCAACAACTTCTACCAAACATCGATTTGTTAACCCTGAGAAACAATCTTCCCCAGCTTCAGTCGATGGTCTTCCACTTCTTAGCGGTACAAATCCCTCTCCAATCCACCAATGTACCAATTGCTCTTTTGTCACAACACAATCCTCTGGATATAGAGAGAAACTCAAGAAGCAAGACTTCAGGTATGGGGGGAGCTCATCATAACTCAATTGAAGTGAGGGCATTACCGTGTCATCATTTTCTCCTAATTCATCTCGAAAGTTGTCTGCAATTCGTCTCCACTCATGATAATGTGATTTATAGAGCAACATTCCTCCAATTGCTTTGATTGCTAAGGGAAGACCATTACACTTTTGCACAATCTCCTTACCAATCTTTTCTAGCTCAGGTTTTGTGCACTCACCTCCACTTGCTGCAAATGCTATCTTACGAAATAGCAACCAGCTATTATTGTCGTTGAGGATATTGGGCTGATGCATCCTGGCTTCACTCACTTCCATCTTTCTTAAGACTTCCACGAACCTTGTAGTGATGATAACACTACTTCCATTACCCTTGGGCAACCCTTCGGAGATTCTGCTCCACCAATTGCCAGCTAAACTCCATACATCATCCATCACAATCAAGTACCTCTTACCTAAAAGGTACTGGTTTATTTTCCTCAACAATTCACCTCGATCATCTCCTACACTTGCATCTCCCAAGGTTCTCAGCATACTTCTCATGATTTGTTCTTCATCAAATGATTGAGAAACAGATATCCACATTCTTCTCTCAAACCTGTCCTCTATTTCTCTATCATTGAAGACCATTTGAGCAATTGTGGTCTTACCTAATCCAGAGCTAAACGAGTAGAGAAGGCAAAGAAGCACAAAAACAACAGCCCTAGAGCATCCTCTTATAAAGTGATTCTTAAGACAAGGGTACTGAAGTAATATATGATGTCACCGCCAATGTGAAAGGCCTTCTGGGTCAACTTAACAAGTATAAGCAAAGTTTTGTTCCATGCAATTGCCTCGAACTCTCTAGCTACTCCATCAACAATTCCCATGACCACAAATTCTAGCCACTTGGTGGTTCCTATTTCCACGCGGTTAAGCGAGAACACTTGAGTTTCCATTTCCTTCCAAATCAGTTTCAAGCTTTCAAGCATTGTTGCTACCGGAGAAATCCCTCTACTCCTAAAGGTGGAGAGCATTGCATCTTGTGACAAGTAAAATCAGAAAGAATTGGGCATCAGAAAGATAAGGCCTCCTCATTATATACAAATCATGCCATCATTTCATGTGCTTTTATTGAACGTTCCAATTAATTTTCATTTGAACTTATGTGCTTTTTGGTTAGTGGATCTATTAGTTATTTGATGCCTTCCCTTTTGACGTGCCAAAGGGGAGAAAAATGTGGTGATTGCATGCATAATATTTATTATTTTTAGGAAAATAACATGGTGTTTATGGTTCAATTAATGTGGATTGTGATATGCATGAATTTTAATCCTATATATATATAGACACACACACACATACATACATACATATATGTATGTATGTATGTGTATAATTAACATGTATAATGGTACGTAGGGGAGCTTCAGATAGATATTGCTTGTGATACGGCAACATAACTTTAATTATTATCTTTATATCTCTGTTTCTTTTGTGTGAGTAACTACGGTCTAACACTTCAGCTATTTTTTCTATAAACACCAATCTTTCACTTCATGTAAAATAACACCTGAGCCCATATTTTTACAGCATTATGCTTGCAAATTCTCCTTTCATTATTTCTCATAATCTTCTTGAAGCTTTAAACTTTAATTGCATTAAATCACTATTTAATAAAAGTAACTTTCCACATTAAACTTTAATTAGCGTGGCTGTTAATATAGTTCTAAATTCATTTTATAAATATTATCTTTTTATTTCTTAATTAATAAATTTGGCTAGTTTATTATTATAATGCGTTGGACTCTAATTTGCATTCTATAATGTGTTTGGTGTAATTTGTAAAAAAAAATAAAGAATAGAAAAGACATCTATCCCATATTAAAAAAAAAACATTATTTTCTAAGTATTTATAAATATAAGTTTTTATTATATAGTAAGTTAAGTGAAAGCCATAATGGATAAAGTCTTCTAGTTGACTTTCTAATATTATTATATGGATATTTGTAATATTAAAAAATAACAAGATAACACTTGGGACTTAGTTACTTGGAACTTAATTTTTTAGTGAAATTAATTTGTTTTTTGAATTAATTTATTTGATTTTCATAATTAATTTTAACATTTATGATTGCTAGTGTGCCTATATAACATATTTTCTTCCCTTTGTATTTTTTTTATTTTTTTAAAGATTCAAAGGATTTAGTTGTATTATAATTTTTATATATATATATGAAATAAATAAATACTTTAAAGATATTGTTTTAACATCTCGAAACCAATTCTTTATTTATTTCTATTTTAAACAGTTTATTTATAGAATGTGCCAACAATTCTACCATGGTCCCTGGAGACCAAGATGATCCAATTGATGAAGTCACTATACGAGTTCTTAATTTTTTGGAAATTTCATGGAAGGACATGGAATATTTATTTCATTTATACTGCATTCTAATTTGATACTTTGTTATTTTTTTATATTTTTTTATTTTCATTCGCATCTCGTTCTACTTTATTTTCTTAAGAAAGATCTAAAAAATACCAAATATGTTTCAGTTATGTCCTTTCATCCAGGGGATGGAACTGGTATCCAAATCCAATAGATAACTATTTGATCCGAACAAAATGAGTAGGTCATTAAGGTGAAAAAGCTACTTTGGTTAGTATTTGGATAATATTAAAAAAAAAACCATTAGGTTATGATTTTTGTAATATTTAAACCATATATAATTCAAAACACACCACAAGTAATGATAAAATTGTAATTACATATAGAAGCCCAGATTTTTCATAGTGTTGCAAAAATTTATTTGCTATATACATGGATGTATGGCTTGAAAATATTTATTTTCATTATTTTATGGCTTGAAAATATTTGTTTTCATTATTTTATAACTTATTTAGTTATTATTAATGATATGTTTATATATTAATAATTTTTTGTGCATATATGTTATTAAAATTATTTATTCTAGCATATGTTAATAATGTTTTTGTTTACATATACTCATATATCTAAATAAAATCTTATAAAAAGAATCCATGTAGGTGCTTTAACATGATTCATCTATTCTAGAAAATAAAAGCATTTTATTAATAAATTTTTCTAAAATAATGCTAATTTTTTTTTATGAATAACATGTAATTTTTTTTTGTAAGAATTGGACTGTATGCAAAAAAAAAAAAAATATAAGAATTGGACTGTATGCAAAAAAAAAATTTAAGATCATGTTTAACAAAAACTTATTTTCTCATAAAACCAAAACTATTATAATAGGTTTAAGGAGTGTTTGTTAAACACACCCTTAAGCCATCGAAAACTTTTAGTAAAAATATTATCAATCAAACAAGGTCTCAACTTTTGACCTGACCAAGTTGACCCAAAAGTTTTAGTTCAATCATAAACCAAATCAAAATCCATTAGTTTGACCCACAAAATAAACTGGAACCTAAACTAAAATCTAGAATAAAATCAAACTTAAAATCACACAAAAACTCAATTTTTTTTTGTTAAAATAGATTAAGACCCCAAAAAATAAAGAACATTCAATATGAACTAACAACACAAATTTCAAATCAAACCAGATATAGACAAACCAAGGATAGAAACATGTTAGAAATCATGCAAGAATCAACAATTTAATTTTCATGCATTTCAATTATCAATCAAAAACCATGATTTTATCAAAATAGATTTTGATTCAAAACCAAAACTCAATAATTAAAATCAATTGAAAATATGTTATTGATGTAAATAAAACCTAAATTATTAACTAATAAATTCGCTTGAAGGATTTTGTACAAAGAATTGGACCAAAATAGATCCAAATCATGGGACTAAGGCAATGTTTTTTTCCAAGAAAATAATACATTGTCTTAGAACCTAAAAAATGCCCAAATATAGAACCAACCATTATCAAATCCAAAATTAGCATTTTAGGCCTCTAAAATATGCTTTTTAAGTTGTAACAAACCATATTATTATAACCAAGCATATTTGAATCAAAAGAACCAAGAAACCATATCAGATCATCTAGATTATGCAAGATGTTCCAAATCTAAAAATTATCAACTTAAAATAGCCTACATGTTCATTGATTAGTACTTAAAAGTGTATTCTTATCATGGTTTTATATCATCATTTTGCACTTGAAGTATCAATAACTCCTTAACTAAAGCATGTTTTATAATAACATATCTAATAATATAAGATACCTTTAATTTATGGTAAATATTCATTTTAAATGCAGGCCTATCACATAAATGAAAGGATTGATTGATGACTTTAAGAACTTAAATTGCAAAGGCAAAGAGATGGTCAAACTTAGAAAAGAGATGTCGGTGCAATCCAAACCGGAACACTGTTCGGTAATTGGGTCATATCTAGAGCTATATATCTCAGATTTAGGTCCAATTTATATGGATGGAAAGGTAAGACATAGGCCTACAACTTTCATATGGAGCCCAAGATCTAAAAAGGCCATTATCAAGTCCAAATAGTAGCAACAACAAAGAAGCCCGAATCTGTCTTCCAGCCCGAGCACTGTTCGGTATTTTGGCCATATCTGGAGTTCTAGAAGTCCAAATGAGCTGAATGTTTTACACAAGAAAGCTGAGACAATTGCCTACAACTTTCATGTTTGCAACTGGCTCCAATTTTGACGTTATCAATGACGTTTTGGGCAGACAAGAGAAGATAAGGATTGTCACCAAGTCAAAAGTTGGTCACCCACTTATCAATTAGTCATCAAATCAATAGTTCCCATTTTTGGCCTATAAAAGGAGGCATTTGCCATGCATTTAGGCATCTTGGTGTTCAGATCAAGATCATGCTCTTCCTTTCTCTCTTTGTATTTTTTATGCTTTGTTTTCATTAATATTAAGTTTATGCCTTTCATTTCCTTTCCTTTACTTAGTTAACTTTTATGTTCTTATTTTGTTTATCTATTTTGCTTTCTTTCATTATGTCTAGCTAAGTTAATTATGTCAAGGTGAAAAGGTTACACTAATGGTGTAAGAATAAGTATAATGTAAACTTAATATGGACTTTAATGTTTGATACTAACATGTTTTATATTTGCTATCTTGTTCACTCTTTAATACTTTGCTTGTTAAATGACTAATCTTGATTTATGTTGTATAACACTTGTTGTTGTTGTTGTTGTTGTTGTTGTTGTTGTTGTTGTTATTGTTATTGTATTATTGTTATTATTATTGTTATTGTATTATTGTTATTTATAATTTGTACAATTAACCTCCATGTGGTTCGACCCCGGTCTTGTCGAGTTATTTATTACTTCGACACTCCTGCACTTGGGAGAAGACATCAACCTTTTAGTCGTGTCATTCATACAATATGAATTTAAAATTATTTTTTATAGGCTCATTTTGGTCATGAATAAACCTAACAAATCTAAGATAAATATTATTTTTTCAGCATGCAATTGCATAAGTTAAATTAAAACAACATATATATATAATAATAAAAGATTTTTATCACATTTAAAACATTATAAAAAAAAGCTCCAAAAAACATAATCAAATTATCATAATAACAAAAGGAGCAACCATAACACTATTTGCTAGGCATTCTAAATCTCATCACCATATTTATAAACATAAATACAAATCAAATGATAATAATAATAATAAAAAAACACACTCAAGCAAGCCATATAAACTTCACTTTTAGCCTAGAAAGTATATTTTTGAACCCTTAGAGTAGCTGCTACCTTTTTTACTTTCCTTGTAAAGTATTAATTTCACAAGCTTGTTACCCATGAAAGCTAAAGAAATCATTGTGCTAGGTTCTTAAACTTTCACACTTACAGTTCATTTATCAACCTTTTCTTTCTTTTTTTCCCCTCTCTCCTCTAATTTTTTAGGGGGTATTTATAAGATTTTGCTAGGGTTTATGATGAATTCAAATATAAATTGATGAAAGCTTAACTCTTTGATCAAAATTAGAGGGTTTTGGAGTACATTTTACAGTTTTGAGCTTTGTACATATGTTGGTTTTTCAATAGTGATTTTGCAACAAATTTAATTTTTGGAGGTTTTGGTAATTTTTCCAGACATAAAGACTATTGAGCTTGTTTCTAAGTTTT